CAGATTCAATTCTATTTGTAAGTAACACTTGGTAATACTTTTGTTTTTCGCGATACTCGTAGAAGATTTAAATCCATTTCGTCCAGGTTCGAGTTTACTTGAAAGTACTGCTTTCAGTTGAAATAATCATAGAGAATTCGAAACTACAACAGATTCAAATCTTGAATGTAAAATATTGAATGTAATATAATTCCATAGTTACTGCAGATTTCAACAAATATTTATTATTCTGTGAAACGAGAGGGGAATTTTCAGTGTATCTTGTCAGTGTACATTACCGAATCCACAAAGGTATGCAAAAGGTAATTTCTCACATATATGCTCTAAAGAAAAAATTCATATGGTTTTACATTTCTTACATCGTAATTCAACGTAGCTGCAGTGAGACAACAGAAAATTTTAAGTAGACGATGCTTAGAAATTCCTTTTTATCTTACAATTTGACTGTTTGAAAAACAAAATTTTATATGAGGGACATGTGTTACCTCTACATTTGTTATTACTTTTTCCTGTAATCATTGAGTCATTATAATGTCAAAAGCAAGTAGTTATGCGAAGTCTTTCTTTATACTCACACTAAATAAAGTTTTATACACGGTTACTCGCGCGTTTTAAAGTTTTAACGAAAACTCTCTCTTATATTAATATATTTGCGTATAATTTTGTCTGTGTATATTACCTATTTTCGGCAAGAATGGATTTGATGGTCGATTAAAATTTACTGGTACTTGGTAATTCAATAAATCCTACAACTGAAAGAAAATCTTCGCTATATTTCAAAGATCTTCAATATACGTGGTGAATGAAACTAATATATTCCGGATTACAGAACAAGAAAAAGGGGCATATTATTTTTTTACGTAACCGCGATTCCAATAAGAAAATTAAAGAAAGGAAAGAAGAATTTAAAGCAGAGCCTAAGACATTGATAATTCTTAGCAATTGTGAATTTTATCTTTGTCGAAAACGCAGCTTTATGTAGGAAAAGAACGCTTCTTTTTATTTTTCTTATTTATCTTTTCATGTAAAATCCAGCAATCAATAACAAATCATTTTGTATTCTCATCCCCAATGTCGTTCAAGTTACTAGAAGGCATTACTCCGTGCTAGAGATGTTTATCGACATCCGATAATATCGATTAGTCGAGGTTTTTTCAACCTCGATATGAAAGTATCGAATAAAAGAACCACGAATGTGGGGAATATTGAATGAGTGCTTTCGAGCAACTTAAATAAAAATTAATGTTTTCGAAAACCGATCGGTATGTTTAATTATGCAGAGAAACTTGCATATTTGTATACAGGGTGTCCCAGGAGGAAAGGTCGATATTAAGTGTTCGTGTTTTATCTGAACGAGGACGTCAACGAAATGTGCTCTATCTCGGAAACAGTGGGGAATGGGACATATATTCGTATGAACATTTTTGCTTAAAATGACCGATACCGTTATCTCCTCGAATATTGACCTTTCCTCCTGGGACACTCTGTATAGATAAGGAAATCGTCCAATCATGATGCGGTTAGAGATGTGATAATGCGATTGACTGTGTTTGACGTCCTCGTTTATCGTTGCGACCCATAAACGTGCCACTCATCTACATCTATCTACACTAAAAAAGACCCTCGCGGCATTGGTACTTCGAAAACGAATAGACCTATTGACTGATTTGCTAGAATTTTCTTAAGGTGCATATAAAATTATCTTCACTATACTTTTCATCATAAACAAGGTAATAGAGCCGTAACGAAGGTTTTTTTATAGTTTAAAAAAATGTCGCTTATCCGATATCTCATTCAATATATTAACTACTCATTCGGTGCTAACTACGGTGCTTTCTAAGTTGGCGAATATATTCATGTTCGATTATTTTTCCTCGATTTCGACATGTCTACTCCGTACGGGGTAATTTAGATAAAAGCGAGATAACGCATTAAGTGTAACTGGGAAAAATGATCGTGTTACACGTGTGTGTTGAACTTTCCGGTATCATGACGTAGGAAGAAAGCAACAATGGGCGAATACGAGTCTCCAGTGAATCCGTTATGCCTTTGCGTCACCGTCCATTTCTCTCCTTTACAGTCTTTTCTGAGAAACGCGGTACAAGTATTGCGCGTTGCCGGTGTACTTCATATCTTTTGCGCGCGTGTCATTTCGGTAATGTTACGATAAATAATAATAACAATGTCGCGTTTGCCTGATACTTGACGGTTCATACTTTATACACCGCATCTGCGTGTATTTATCATGCGTTGCGCGAAAATTGCGCGGGCGAAGATTGTTAATATTTTCCGTATTTTCCCGAAAAGTACGTCCCATCGCAACTTGCCGCAACGATGCTTCAATATTATTCTCTTCTTTTCCAGATATTGTTTAAATATACGAGAATGTACTTGATAAAAAATTTCTCGTATAAGAACATGTATAAATGCGTAGAATTCTATATAAAATATCTTCACGTTTGTTTTTCTTCTCTTGCATACTTATTGTTTGTATATGTAAGAAAAAATAATAGGAAGAATTAAAAAATAACTTCTGCATTATTGTTTTTGGAAAAACTAAAGTTTGAAAAAACTGAGAAAAAATTACTTGTACACGCGTGTTATCATACATGCATGTAATAATTTTATATAAAGTATAATTTTACGATATATTTATAATTGTACGTAAAATATTGTATAACCTTTAATCGCAATTTTATTCTTTTATATAAAAAATAATTTATCGCGCAGCGGGCACTTACGACGCGCGTTTGCAACTGATTTTCGACAAGAGTTTGCCAAGTTACATCTCGATATTAACTGTTGAAAAATGCGGTAGGATGATTACCTGATAAAATTGAGATCATTTCGCCCGCGTTTGAGTTGTTCGCCGTTAATAGTCTTGATATTGGACCGACCGAATCTGATCACGATGTCCGGTGACTTCCATCGGGGATGCCTACTGACCTTCGAATCGGTTTCCCCGTCCAAGATGGAATTAGCGGCGTTGTTGAAGGCAGACTGACCGCGACCGAACCTGATGAAGGAGGAACCCATAGTGCTCCGTCTCTCTTTAGAGTCGGTATCCTCTTTACGTTCGTCGATGCCGTGTCTCTTTATCACGTATTCGAATTCGTTCGGTGATTCCTTGAAAATTCTCAGGCTACCGTCGTCCTTCAGCGGTGTCAGCACCGAGGAAGACACGAGCATCCAGTTGCAGATGAATGCCATCGAGTTGAAAGTCCAGAGTGTAATCTACAATCAAACGCTGTATCGCTAAAACATTTTGTTTAAACAAAGCAGTGCAAGCAACTGTTGTTGCTGGCTTGTTGACATGATAAGGGCAAAAATATTTGTTGAATTAAATTTTGCTGAGAACTTACTAAAAAATGTTGCGAGCAAACAAACACGCAAACTGAGTACAGCAAATTTGCAACAACTTTGCGGCAACAATTGCGATTAAAACAAATGTATGATTTTAGCAATATTTTAATAAAATTGTGGCAACTTTGCAAATGTTTTTGCCGCAAATATTATTACTAACATGTATCGGCAATTTTACTGACAGCTTGCAAGTAAAAGTTTAATTCAATGAATATTTTTGCCATGATCACAAGATGGCAACAGCTGCTGCTGCAAATGGATTGCACAAAATGTTATCTGGGCAGTTTGTCACAGATGTGTGTTACGAAAGTATTGTCTTTCTTTAAATATTTGATGATTTTTTTAATTACTGTTTTTTTCCGTTCCGCCAAATATTCTTTTGAGTGAGAACGACGTCTGTACCGCTATGTCTGCGGAAGACGCCGCAAAGACAACTTTTCTTTATTAGGCCCGGTTTCACCAAACGTCGCTTAACTTTAATCTTAGTTTAATTCACGTTTGTCTCTTTCTAAAGTAACAGTTGGAACGAGACAAAGAACGAATTAAACTAAGCTTAAAGTTAAGCGACATCAGTTAAACCGGGCCTTAGGTCTGCAGATATTTGCCTTCGAAATTAAGAAAGTAAACATTTTGAATATCTATTCTGTAGCGTTTTAATCAAATTGAAGAATTCATTAAAAAGTTATAAGAGTGCCAAAATATGCGGTGACTCTCCTGGATTTACCCTTTATCTGAAAAGTAGATTATACTTTATATATTTTATACACATACTGCGTGTGTGTACCAACGTTAGAGATAGTGAATTAATTAAACAAAATTTGTATGTAACAAATTAACTTCTATTGTTTGAGGAAAAAAAACATCTCTTAAGAAACAGTCGGTACGCGATCATAATATCACAATATTCTACTATAAAGAAAAATAATTTAATACGATAGTCTCATAATCCTTTTCCGTGATGCTGATTAGATGTCTCGCTTGGCTCACTTCGTCAAAGAGGTTGTGTGTAAAATATGTTGTTTTTAAGAGAAATTTTGAGAGTGTTTAAAAACTCCGATAGAATGACAAAGAATGACAGTGATTAAAAATGACGCTTGTGTTGTTCTAGCGATAGTGAAAATAAAATACATTCCTGTATAAAATATAATTAGAACCACATTACCTAATGTATTGCAGGCTCATATCTATAATCTCAGTAAGGCGGAGTATGTACAGACCCGTATATTGGCAGCTTTGCCAAGTGAAACTCACTTGAATAAACTATTCAACACAATGTAATTGATTTGTCAAGACCGACTAGAATTACGAAGTGCAACAGGAGCGACGTGTCATCCAACGTGCGCGTGCGTCATACAATAAATTATATCGGTGTCTTATTATCCGTATTAATATCCTGTTTAACAATACCACAGCATACTGAGCAAGATTAATGCGGTGCCTTACATTACTTTAATTAACCCTGTACGCGACTGCCCTTCATAATCACATCGCCCACAAACTTGTTACGTGTATTGTTAAAAACCCGCAGATTTACCACGTCTTAAGAGAAACGAGTATTAATGTACACGTAGATGGGTGGATTCTCGTCTTAATTAACTGACCTTTATTGTTACTTTGCGCAGATTGCACCGATATTAATACTCAGGTTCTTGTATACGCTGCTCACATCGCGTTGCGTCACTGGACGCGCAGTGTTGGCTTAACGATTTATCACAAATTCTTTAGTTTTACCTTGAAGTTGCTATTCTTCTACTAAAAATATTTTTATTGTTATGTCTTCTCGACTTTGTCCCTTTTTTACAATAATTTCGCTAAAAGTAACATCTAATGTAATATAAATATTATGTTAATGTAACATTAAACAACAGCAAATATAAGAAAATAAAATTATTTAGAGTTCACTTAAGGCGAAATCAATTTTAGTGATATTACAATTTAGGATTTTTTAATTAATTGATTAAGAAACCATAAATTGTAATATTACTAAAATATTAGAAATATTAGATGCTAAAGATTGTGAAAAACCGCAATGAACGCGCGATAATCTCCATTCAATATTTTAATGTACAAAAGGTCGAATTGGTTAAAACATTTTGAATATCTTTTAAAATATTAACATCGAACATTTTCCTTCTCCAAACGATTGATAAACCAACCAATTATTATATTATCGTTATTCTTAGAAATATTCTACAAAATTCTACAGAACAAGTACATTTGAAAAGAAAGCGGAATTCAGTTAATATCACGAAAAATTGTTCGCGTATCAATCCTTATCTCGCCGCTCATTCAATTTCATCCCTCGAAAATGGACTGAAGATGTTCTATCTTATCATCTTTAGAACGTGATGGAGTGTTACAGCTGGCATTGCTATCAAAATTTTTCAGCTGTAAATTAATAAATGAATACTGTTTAATCCGAAGTTAGTGTCGTGAAGACGTTTAGGAAAAAGAAGAAAACGCTGAGGTAAATCCGGCCGAGAAAATTAAGTCGGTAAATTTATAGAGCCTGAAAAGGAACATACGAGATTCGCTAGGTCACTTCAATGGCGAGAAAGTATGTAGTCCATGTGACAACCGCGCGTTTGAATAAAAATGGAAATTAGCTGAAATAATAGGAAAGTATCTCAATATTACGCGAAGGCAGAAAGTCACGTAGAGAGACAACAGAGGCTTTTACCATGAAGACTGGCGATAAACTCGGTGACGCGGGAAACCACCACCTTTGTACAATCTTTCTGCGCGTCGCAACTGTTTTATTTTCAATAAAACTGTCGAAAGCTACGAAGATACATTACGTCGCTGCAAAACTCGTTTATCAAATAAATCAAACGAAATTTGATTATTTAAAAAACAAGATTATCAGAAATGATTTTAGAAATGACTTCGAACGATTGATTTCCATATTATAGTTTTTCTTCTAGGAAAAACGTTTATCAATTTCCTCTTTAGAATCAGTGAATTACTAATAGAGATTATGATACGTAAAGTACCTGACAACCGATCCAGTAATTCAGAAGATTTTCTTTGACACACATTTATAAAGACCGTTCATTGTTTAATGGCAGACGTAGAATAACATTTATTCTATCTCCCTCTTTTTCTTATTTTCTAATCAAATAAATCAAACGAAATTAGATTATTTAAAAAAACAAGATTATTAGAAATTATTTTAGAAAGCACCTCGAATGATTGATTTAAAAAAAACAAAAATATTTCCAACGTGCAAACTAAATTATACTAAATATTATTTATAGACACTGAAACTCTCGACCAACAAAATGTAATCCTAATCTATCTAAAATAAAATAATAAAATATGAAGTAAAATATTTACGATACACGATACGCGGAGAGTGAAAAACAATATCTTTCTTTTTCGATTGGCATCACCAAGGACTAAGATGAGTGGGCAGAGATTTGCTCGATCGCGCTCGCTTCGTCTTCTAGCTCGTAAATCAGCATCGATCGAGGCGACAGCTCGAACAGATCATTGCCAATCCGCACGTGGGAATCATGGGAACCGAATTCACGAAACAATCCGCCGTAAATCTCGGTGACGAATACACTCACTCCACAGGACAATGGCAAAGCACTCACCATTCTATCGACTGCCTTTCGACTTCTCGATGCGCAGGGCGACCGGGAGGTGACGAAATCGCAAGTAGTTAGTGTTGAAGAAAAAACGTAACGCGACGAATAGCGGCGGCGTGGTTTGGTGGTGGTTGGTGGTGGAATGGGTGCCCGGGGTTGGCGATGACACCCTTTATATAGGGGCACCCTTGGCGCGCATATTTCCCCACTTTGGCGCGTTGCTCTTCTCTCGCCGTGCCGCCAGGAGGAGATGGTCCCACCTGAGTTATGATTGGCCGGAGCGTACAACACGATACCTCTACATTATTTTGATTCAATTACACCATCACCACCGGCTACCGACCTACGTAATCTCCTTAGTTATTTATGACTTTCAACAAATAATAATCATAGGGGCGGATGCGAGAAGAAGATCCTCCTCCGTTGCCGTCATCGATAACAATGTCGGCTCTCATCTCCCCGGCTCTCCTTCTTTTTCTGACTATCCATCGCGCAGAAACAACAACAGCGCCGAGACAACCAACCCTTTACGTCGCGTACGTCGCGTATGTTGCGCATCGACCTGCTTCGCGTATACATCGAAAATGCAACAGGTAGAGTAGAGCCTTTGCTCGACAGTGATTCGACTATTTTTGCACGATCGTTTCTCCCCGCGGGAATGCGACAGCGGTGAAGAAATGACGAAAAAGGGCGTTTGTTAGTCGCAAAGATTACACCGCGGGCAAAATTTGCGCCAGGAGTTAAGCCGTGACGGCATTTGATTTACGTTGGGTTAAATTTTTTAAGTAACGATTTATACGCCAGAGAAGTTGGAACAGAAGTTCCCGAAAGCACGTAAAATGCATTTACGCTATTACGCAGTTACGTGCGGACTTGTTTTCGCTAAACTAATTTGAGAGATTTCGCGTTCGGGGCGAGAAATACGTAAGAGCTTTTAACTTTTAACGTATCACCTGCCATCGCATTGCTGAAGATATGTCTCAAAGCGGAGCCGAAACGCCCGGGTAACATTGTGGGTATCTTGTTAATCGCATTGCACTCTCGAAGCTCACTTTTTCGCTCGTTATTTGTTTAATCTCTATATACCTGTAAAATAAAAGTATTTAAAAAGTACTGCATGTTATACATGTACGTATATTTGAAAAATACGTATTTTATTTGAAAATTGTACGTATCATCTTTACACTAACATTTATATATCATATAATAAGTAATTAATAAGTTCTCTTTACTAATTTTCATCCGAGTTGAATATTATACATAAAAAAAAAGTCATGTTGGTGGCGTTTCGAAGAAACTGATGTCCTTTTAATGACAAAAATTCTTTAACCAATTTTGAATTCCTTTTTCCTCGGAACAACGAGACGCTAATTATTTTCGAGTTATGAGCGATAAAAAACGGGAGGTTTCTTGCGAACTGCGTTTGAAAAGAAAACGATGATAACGGAAATACGTATAATTTTTAAGATAAAGTTTAGTCCAATGAAATAAATTTCACAGGCTTAATTAGAGTAACATATAATGATAACAATTAGAAAGTACTGCAAGATAAATGACTTTCCTTAATATTTTCGCTGAGGGAAAAAGAACCACTTGAAATTGATCATATTGAAGCTTTCTGTGTTTATTCGTATAGTAAAATAGGAAAACTAATTCCAAGTAACCAATTTAATAAAAATTTAGAGTCACTTTGGACATTGTAAATTATAATCTGATATAAAAGTGAAGAGTGTATATCCTTTGGGTGAAAGAGCTTGCCTGCGTAAAAGGAGATCGGTGCCGGCGTGCACCGTTGCATAAGCTTGTATTCAAGTTTAATATTAGCGTAAAGATCGTCTCTCTATTGCCGACATCGCGCAGACTGTTGCATAAACGCACGTAATTCATACTTGTTACTGCAGGATGTAACGGGAGTAACGAGATCTACATATGCCACCACTTTGCATCAGTAGAAGTTTCTTTGATAGCGCTTATTTCATAAAATATTTCCGATATTATTTTTTGTAGAACGCCTTTTGCTCTATTTCGTCACTCAAACCGTTTTCCCTAAGGGAAATCATTTTTATCGAACGATTTTGAAGATTTTAACTCAACTTGTCGCGATGTTTCATTTTGATAAAACAAACTGTCTAGGTCATATACAATGGTCATTTGCGAAAAGTCTATTATTTTCTTAAATACTAATATAACGTTGAGAACTGAAAAATAGGCAGTATGAATATGAGTACATTTTTATTACAAAAGTATTAAATTTTATATTAATTTAATACTTAATATTACGTAAAAAAATACGTGTTGTTTCTCTCTCTCTCTCATTTTCCGTTTAGAATACATGATTTTAATTTATCTTTCGATCTATTCGAGCACTGCACACTATAAGTTTTTATAAACAAAAAGAAAATAAATTTTATACGGGAAAGATTCAGGTTCTCGATTTCATTAGGTGTTTGGACGGGTGGGAGTCGGCACACAGTTCGAGTTTCGAATACAGTCACGATACGTAGCATTCAGGATATAACATTAGACGGTTTATTGCAATAAATATTGCAACGTGCCTCAGTGGTCAAATTGATGAGACGACTAGCGAGGGAGGTCCAAGTTCAAACCCTGGCTGGGATATTTTCCGCAATAAATTTATAAAATTATTCAGACATTAACACCCTGTCACGGCTCTTTAGTCCCCTATTCCTTCGAATTTGTGTTTGTCACATGTGAGTTTTATGAATTTTATTAATTTTATTAATTTGAACTGAATTAATTTGAAAAGATTCAATTCCAAGTTTCTCTCTGGTGTTCACTCCGCAATTTTGGTGTTTCAAGCAAACAAGTAATTTAAATGGTACATAATTATAATGCGTGGCGCAAGAAAGAATTATCGCGAGTGATTTATTGCTATACGAAGAATAGAAGTTAGCGGTTGTAATACTGATTTGCTATGCAAGATATATTAAATGCACATTGAATACTTTTAATTTTCTATCAAAGTTAAATTAGTCTTTTTGTTACAGCAACGTAATTAACAACGGTTAACCTTAATTGCTCTCATATCCAAAATATCAGATTTCTTTCTTATTTCCTAAGTCTTTCGAAAAAGAACTAACGAGGCGATAATTAAATATCTCGTATATAGTATAATGGTATAAACTATAATAAATAACTTAATATATTAATTTTTAATTTTGCTTGCGTCAATAATGTTTCAACAATATGCTTTTTATTCATTGCGTTTTACATTATTATTTAATCCTCCTTCTCAGTCACATACATGAATATGGATAACAATTTTATTACTTTATGAATTTTGAATATTTGACAGATAATGATACATTTTTAAAGAAAAAAATTTCAAAATTTCTAAGACCTTTCAATTACGAATAATATTCGTGGATCATTCAAAACTTTACATAATTAAATAGTTTGAGAACCTTTGAATTAAGAATCCAACGCCCACCATTATATTAATTTTTTAAATATTATTTTCTTTTCACTTATAATTACTGTTTTATATAATATAATTATCTGACAAAGCGCTCTTCTCCCTTTGTTTTGTTCTACATCAAAGAAAGAAGATAACAATGTTAAATTTTCAAGCAAAATTGACTGTAACTTTATTAAAATTTCAATTTCACGGTTAATTGCAAAATGTAGCTGTGATTAAAAATTGTAACAAATGTAATATAAATGACAATATTTCATAGTATTACTACCGACGAAAAAATAACTTTCGATTTGACCCAACTGATTGTAATGGAAAGGAATGCGACAGAAATTTTGCTGCGTCTTCAATTTGAAAAATTATATGGAAAATTGTCTTCGCAGATTTAAGGATTAAGTAAGAATTGAAATTATCATTACGGAGTTACTGGTAAAATTGAAAAGATTCGATCTAAATAAAGTAGGATCTGCGATGGTGTAAAGAGGTCAAAGTCATTGCGTTTCATTGATCAGCGGTAGGCGACGAAATGTCTATTCAACAGGTTGTTAACTACTTAAAATCTATGGTAGCCCCTTCTTGCCACTCTTGTCTGTGACGATACCGACGTATCGCGATTCTCACGTAGTCAGTGTCAACTCGACGACGGTTCGCACTTCAACTCGCGATGCGGCTTTCTTGTACCGTCTACACGGCGATCACGCTTATTTTATTCAGCAACATAGTGTTGTATGCGAGTAGCACAGAAAGTAAGTGGCAGCGAGTATCATGCTAAGCCCTTTCCTTCTGTCTAAAAAATCCTTGTTATATTACGCGTTGTAGAGCATTTTCACAAAACGTCACCAAGCATGAAAGTATAAAGTTAGAGATTTTGTATTTATATTAATTTAGTTGATATGTCCTATCCATTGCAAATATATTTCCATTAGAAAGTAAACCATCATAAATACTAGTAACCTTACAGTTTAAAAAAGAACAGTGGAACGATTAATTCTTTTAATATCGTATTGATATCATTTGAAAACATTACGTATATTGTAATTATTTAGAAACGTTTTGTTATATGAAAATTGGCTTGAAAGTGTTGAAAAATGCTCACAAAGAGCATTAATATATTTTAAGAGAAAGATATTAAAATTCAAGAAATATTTTTATATTTTACCATAAAAATTTTTTAAATCTATATAAGTAATGATATCAGAAAATTGAACCAATCATATGAGTACAAAATTTAGATTTTTTACGAGTTAGTGTAAGTTGTGTTATGAGTTTTAGTCTCCTGATTTTTATTTTATAATTTTTATAATTATTATATTTCCGTATTTAAAAAAATATAGCATGAGCAAAGAGCAATTTGATTGCACAATATATTTCACTTCAATATTTATATATATATGTTTTTAATACATAATTTTTTTCTTAATTTGAGGAGAATATAGATACATTTTAGAAAAATTTCGGATTTTAGTTATGAGAAAGTTAAAAAGTTAAATAAAAGTAAGCAATGCAAGATAGTACACACATGATACTACGCAAAATTTAAAACGATAATTTTTGTTGTTTTTTTTTAATAAAAAGTAAAGTTTAAAGAAATGAGAACAATTTCCGCATATACTATAATCATAAATGTAATAAAAGATATAAAATAATTGTATATGATTATATACAGAATCTTGTATAATTGCCACTTTACTTTTTGAGAAATAATTAGTTTTCTGTCTTTTAACTCGTCTTCCT